ATTTCGCAGGGCGGGGCGCGCTGTGGTGTGAGAGGCAGAGAGCTAGCTCTGGGCGCCGGCTCAAGTGAGAGGAGAGGTAGCACGGAATGAGCAGTGAGCGCGACCGGCTTGGCAGGTGAAGGCGGGCGCTGTATGCTGGGTCAGGCCGTGGTCGCTGCTGCAAGGGCGGGCGACGCTGACGATGAGTCGCCACGTGGCGAGCAAGCTCTGCATGATCGGGACGACGGCTGGGCTGTGATCATCGTGAACAAGCAGCAGAGGGAAGTGCCATGGTGGCGTGGCTGGCTGGCTGAAAGCGAGGCGAGGCGAGGGCTGGAGGCTGGCTGGGCCGACTTGATCGTGGGCGGAAGTGAGGCGACGGCCCCATGAAGGAGGGAAAAGCCTTTTTCATTTGTATTTTCAAGGAATTTTTAAATGTCATCTTTCAAATATTATTTTGAGCAAGAAAATGACATCTTTTAAAAATGTACCAAAAATGAAAGTTGATTAGAATTTAATTTTCTACAACTTTGCTTTTATGACCACAGTCAAATTCTTTCTAGATTTTGAATTGTAAGGTCAAAGTCCACGTTTAACTCAAAACCCTAATTTTTGGGAATTTATTTTTGAAGCCAAATTTTGAATTAATTGAATACAAACTTTGCTCCAAAAATTGAACTAAACATTGCTAGATGATTTACAATAGTAGCCAAACATGTTTTACTAACCTAGCAAGCAAAATCAGGGCAAAACAAGTCTAACAAAAGTATGCACATTCAGGTTTCACAACATGTTTAAAATGTTTCGAAGCAGTGTTTCAATTGTTATTTACATGATTAGGCATGTGTGATTAGAATGCTTGATGATGTATGATATGCATGATTTGCAGTGACTAAATGCAGGCATAACACCGGGGTGTTACAACTTAGCCGGCATGGGTTTAAGGGAAAGTCTATGATTCCTGGACAATGAGGGCCTAGTTGAGAATCTGTTTCAAAACAGAGAGGTGCATTGTAGCTGTTTAATCTAATGACAACTGACCATGACGATGAGGCATGCTCTATGCACTGATCTGTGATGGAATGGAAATAAGATAAAGTAAGTAAGTTAAGTTTAAGTCATAAGGTGAGATCAAGGGGGAGAATGTTAGATTGATCTCCATCAATTCGCCCAACCCCTTGGATCCGCGTCCTGATCGGGGGCGCCCAACCGCTTCATGGTTGGTGGGCCCTCGTCGCACAGCGCCATAAAAAAGGAGGTGAGGGCTGGGGCATAAGGTACGAGGTTCGCCTGAGCCGACAGACACCCCACCTACATCTTAACCCTAACCGATCTAGAGAGAGGGGCGCTGCCAGCGACGGAAAGCACCACCACTGGATCAGGACGCATATCAAGGGACCAATTGGCCGTGGTGGAGATCAATCTAACACTGGGCACTGTTTACTTGGGCACTGCTTTGATAGGAACCCTCGAATATTCTGCTGTCTGATTTGGTAGGTGTGGTGTTTGAACCGACCTCCAAGCACAATGGCGTGCTGGAGCAAAACAATTTTCGATTTTTTAATGCAACTTGCCGTTACCTGATGAGTGCTTCCTAGTACATTTCACTCTATCTGCTGTTAAGCCCTTTTTTTGCTCGGTGATCTAGATACGTATACATTCCTCGCTTAATGTTATTTCTCAAGCTGAACAGTCACTAAAAAATGTTCATCATAACATGCTTATCCTTGAGTTTGGCCACTGTGGTCTGATTATCTGCATACGCTTAATTCTGATTTTCTTATTTCAGAACTCTTTGAGTACCTTCTCAATGGAGGATCTCCCGGAGCCACTACTGGCAGAAATCATTAAGAGGGTTACCAGGACAACTGATCTTAATTCACTTTCACTCGTGTCGAAGTGCCTCTACGCTGTTGATGCAGAGGAAAGGGGCACAATCCGTGTTGGCTGCGGCCTTCACCCTGCGACAGAATCCTTCTCATCATTGTGCTCCCGGTTCCCCAACTTGTGGAAAGTAGAGATCAATTACTCTGGTTGGACCTCCATCCAAGCCCAAGGGAAGCAGTTGGACAACCAAGGCCTCTCTGTGCTTTCATCTCACTGTTCCTCACTGACGGATCTCAGCTTAAGCTTCTGCTCAGACATCGATGACAATGGCCTTGGTTGTTTCAAACTTTGCACGAAGCTGAAGGCCCTCAGGCTGAGCTTCACTCCAGCGATAACCTCAAATGGCCTTCTCTTAATAGCGGTTGGGTGCAAGAGTCTATCTACTTTCCATCTTGTTGATTGCATTAAAGTAGACAGCGTCGAGTGGCTGGAGTACCTTGGCAGGGCTGGATCAGTGGTGGAACTTGTGAAGGATTGCAAGGGAATCAGCCAGTTTGACCTCCTAAAGTTTGGTCCAGGATGGATGAAGCTTGAGAAGTTTGAGTTTGAGATCAATGGCAATTATTGGTTATCAGGGGATCCTGCGTTTGATGCTCACTACCCATACAAATATGATATCTGCTGTGAGAATTTGAAGGATTTGAGGTTGGCACATATTATAACTATGCACACCGACGATAAGGGTCTCCCAGCACCGACTGCGCAAGAGATTGGACTCCGTTTTCTTTTGAGAAAGTGCAAAGCATTAGAGAAACTTTGTCTGGACTATGTTGTTGGTCTAGATGAGGACGAGATGATTGCGCTGTTCCAGAACTGCAGCAACCTTAGAAGCCTTTCACTTCGCCTCAAGCCTCTGCGCCAACTGGACTGGGAGACACCACTGACTGATGAGAGCCTTAAGGCCCTTGGTCTCAGCTGCCCTGTGCTTGAGGTTGTTGAGCTGACCTTTACGTTTTGTTCGAGTATGTATCCAACAGAAATAGGCTTCACACAGGCCCTTGGTCTCAGCTGCCCTGTGCTTGAGGTTGTTGAGCTGACCTTTACGTTTTGTTCGAGTATGTATCCAACAGAAATAGGCTTCACACAGAAAGGTATTGTTGCACTCATTCAGGGCCTCTTTGGCATGGCTTATGCCGACTTCGGTTTCATCTGTGCTTGTAAGCTGAGGTTAAAATAAAATAGAAGCAAAAAAAATCGGCTTTGGCTTCACCGGTGAAGCGAACAAAGGAGCTTTCCAATTCGTGCTTTCATGCTGAATGGAGCGAACGTGTTTTATGACTTGGGGTTGGAGGGTATTTCGTCGGCGCCATTCCTGGAGCGACTTGAGCTTTTGGATTGACAGAGGATAACAGATGCTGGGATGAGTTTCATCTCGCGTGCCCCGCGCTTGAGTAGTCTCACTCTCCGGAAATGCAAAAATGTGACTGATAATGGAATAGCCGAGCTGGCACATTCACCGAAACTGGAGTCTCTGACCGTTGTAGGTTGCCATCAGATCTCCCGGGAAGGTGTTCAGGGGGCTGCCAGATTAGTTCGCTACTCAGCTGATTCTGAAAGACATGATTGTCTCAAAGGAATGAAACTCACAGGCAAACCAACCGCACCGCCTGTTCTGGAAACCTTTGCAGCTTAGCCTGTTTGGAAACGTTTGCTGCTTAAACGGAGTGGAAGTTGCAGAAAAGACATGATATCGGAATGGAATTGAATTATTATTACCTATATGCTTCTTTCCATTTCTTATATAATATAATAGATTTAGGTTCGGAACTGTACTATTATACCAAAGTAATATTACAGTTGGTATGTTGCTGTGGCTAGAATGGGTATTACCCCTCATGCTATGTTTTTCCTCCTCCTGTGGAGAGGAGTCTCAAGATTTTTGACTGACTTCTTATACATGGGGTGGCTTCTAAATGTCAGACTTGCATTCAGTTATGCTTCCCTGGCCACTCTGGCAGCATCACGTCTTCTTTCTTTCTTTCTTTCTTTTTTTGGTGACTGCTGGCAGCATCACGTCTGGAGCACACATTGCTGCCCCTGTTCGGTCGTGGACAAAAAATGAACAACGTGGAGCTGATGTTGGGAGGGCTTCCCCTGCTCTGGCAGAGGGGAGTGCTAGGGTCAAAATTAGAGACGGCTTTTTAGGTATGAGACGAAGCTAATAGAGTTAAGGGTGGGCAAAATTTCACCGAAACCGATTAGCCGAACTAAACGATTTAACCGAAAAAAATGTTAACCAGAAATTTTTGTGATCTATTGATGAAGACTTTGGCTATATCGATAACTATGATTTATTTGGATTTAAACCGGCATTAATGTCCCGAATGTCTTTTTGACTATGGTATTAATCACTAAAATTGTATCTATTTTGCAAATTTAAATGTATTTTGATGAGAATATATATTTGTTAGAAGCATTCTTTTGTTTCTTTTCCTTTTGTTTCATTACATGATGCATTTTTTGTTGGCTGCTTTTCATAATTGTGTTGTTGCATTGTCCCCTGCAGAAGTATAATGGGTTTTGCTGTTAAGTGTTAACCGAAACCGATTTTGATCGGTTATTTGTTTTTTTTTTCAAAACAGTCATTGAATCATTTAACAAATTCTCAATGACGGATTTAACCCAAGTACCCAACCGGGTTTCATAGAATTATTATTAACCGAAACCCTTACGCCTAGATGGAACATCCTCTCCGTCCCTCGGGCCTCGCAGCCCACAGAATCGCGGCGGATAGGGAATTCCCCTCGGGATAGCTACTCCTGATCCAACCGGGCTCCCGCCTGTCTTTCCCGCCCCAACTGAACCGATGTGCTGAAAGTTATCTGGTCAGGTCAGTGATGCAAGTTGGCAACCCAATCTTTATTCTTATCTGCCATCCCTGTCCCCGTCACTGCACCGTCAACAAAACGACTGCTGCCCTGCCCTGCCCTGCTGCGGGTGGGTGCAAAGCAAAGCGAAGCGATTGCGGTTGCGGTTGCGGTTGCGGTTGCGACTCCTACTCCTATTTAACAGACGGAGGCGGGGCAGAGGAAACGAGTGAATACTACCACCACCACCATTGCTAGTGCTAGTACGTGCAGAGAGAGACACAGCGCAGGCGACGACGACAGGGTGGGTGGGCATCGATCGGAATCATGGACGACGGCGATTGGATCACGGCGAGGTACCTCCTCTCGTCGATTCTCGGGCGGAACCCGCTGGTGGTGGACTACGTCGACGAGGAGTCCTTCCCCGTCGTCGACCCTCCTGGTCCCTCCTCCCCCTCTGGCGCCGGAGCCCGCCGCGCGGAGGCGCCGCCGCCGGTGCGGGCGCCCGCGGGGGTGGCCGGCACGGTGTGCGCGGTGTGCACGGAGGAGATCGCCGCGGCGGACGCCGTCGTGCGCCTGCCCTGCGCGCACTGGTACCACCACGGCTGCATCGCGCCCTGGCTTGGGATCCGGGCCACCTGCCCCATGTGCCGCGCCGAGCTGCCGCCGAGCGAACCCGACGACGAAGAGGAGGCCGGCGGGGAGGGCGCGGGGCGTGCCAAGCCGGCGAGGACTCGGGGTGTTGCCGCCGCGGGGACCAGCGCCGGCGCGAGCGCGAGCGCGACTGCAGCCGCGCGTGTGCGGCGGGAGGCGCCGCACGAGTACCTCGCCGTCGCCGGCGGCCTGTTGTCCGGCTGATCCGATCGATGGCCGCGTGCACCTGCCGGCCGCCGAGTAGATAGATTAGCCGCGTGGACCGAGTCGTGTGAACTCAGGCTCCTTTGTACAAAGCAAATTGGGTACTCCGAAAAACAATAAAGAAAAAGAGGATATTTCGACCCAAATTATTGTCATGGGGTTCAGCGTTACTCATTTGCTCTGGTCTGAAATGATAACCGTGTATTTCGTATTGAAATCTGAAAGAAGTTCAATCTTATAAAGGTTAACCAACTATTATTCAAATTTCAACAATATATTAAATTTAAAATACCTCTAAAATGATATTCACTTTTTAGTGGGTCAAAATTTGTTTTCCATGACTTTTTGCTGATCGAGATGCGTTTATTATTTCGAGTTGGATAGCGAGTGACAGACCAATTTTTATAAATAAACAGTGTTTTCATGAGCCGTACTATTCAACGAACGAACAGTATTCTTCTCCCACGATAAACCAGCGAACAGTATTTTTCGGCATGGCTTTTCCGCGAAACGAACTGGCCAAAGTCTCAAGGAATAGTAGTAGTAGCAGCAGCAGTACAACGAGTAGGAGCAGTGTACTTTTAACTGTTATAAGGCCAGGTTTAGTTAAAAAAGTTTTCAAAAAGTGCTACAGTAGCTATCACATCGAATCTTACGATACGTGCATGGAGCATTAAATGTAGACAAAAAAAACTAATTACACAGTTTAGTTGGAAATCACGAGACGAACGTTTTAAGCCTAATTAGTCCATGATTGAACTATAATTGCTAAATAAAAACGAAAGTGCTATAGTAGCCAAATTCCCAGATTCCAACCAACACAGCCTAAATAAACAAAGCGACAACCCAACGAACCGGTTGCTGGTGCCGCGTTTGCGCCATCACGTTGGTGCTTTGCTTCACCTCCCCTTGATAGCGATAAACGCCTCCCAAATAGTATACTATTATTATTGAGCGGACTGCGTCACCAGGTTAGTAATCTATGGTTTGATTAACGTTTGAACATCTCACTAGCTTTCACACAGAACTAGTACCAAGTTGCTTTATCGTCTTATCTTAACATAGAAGTGGGCACACAAATCATTCCATTTGTTAACAACTTTTTCCTTTTTCTAAAAAAAAATCATATTCGTCTACGGCTGCAGCGCTTGCACGACGGTTTTTTTTTTCCGGGGAAACAAGCAGATATTCATATTCTAAACGTATGCGTGAAAATAACCATCAAATCTGAACACAGATTCTACCGCTGCTCACACATGATACGTGGAGACGTCGTCATCCGAATGCCAAACATAAACCCATGGGCTTCCGTCGGTGGGCGCTCGTGTGTTTCGCGGTGCGCGGAGATCACCAAAATAATGGACCATTCCTACGATGGCGATGGCTTCTCTGCCCGGGTACGTCCCTGAATTGGACGTTTATATATGTCGCAACTTGCGAGCTGGCGTCACCTGTTTGGTTCCTACTAGCTCAGCTCCCTCTCAAACTGTGCTGTTTACTAGTTCTGGCTGCGTTCGGCTGGTTGAAAAAACAGCCGGATTTCACCGTCCCCGGCTAAAAACACTGTTTATACTTTCACAGATTCCTCCAAATTTTTCCTAACGAGCTGCTCGTCCACTGCAATGCCATCCTATATCCATCGACGATGCAACTGTAAGGAAAAAGGGGGGCATATTTGCGTACTGAAGCTTCAGGTTACTTGTAAAATTTATCCACTCAGATAAGTCCTCAAGGCTCAACTTATTGCACGTATTCACATTTTACTAGATTTATTCCATTCTTTCAGTAGCAGACAACGTACAGTCTACAACGAAATGCCTGCGGTGACCAAGTTGCATATACATGCATGTACTACTGTCTACGTCTCACGTATGATGATTTGCCAAAAAAAAATCCATATTTTCAGACCATCCTGGGGTAGATGGGACTGCCTTTGCTGCTAATACAAACTCGCTGTACAAGCCAAAGAACATAAATGAAAAGCCCTTCCCTCAAATTTGAGAAATGGTGAAAGCGAGATGGGAATCTAGTCACCACACCGACTTGTTCCTTCTCGTGCATCAGAATTACAGTATCAGACTTGCTTTGACACGCTTCGCTGCTGAGAATTACCCAGATAAACAATGCCATCTTTCTGACCCACATTGGTGTACCTCATCAGCTGCCGCTGGAGAATTATGCTAACCTAACATTCCCCCATTGCTGAATTATCGTGAGCCGAGATACCATAACCAAAATCACATCAGCAACAGGTCACAGGCAAATACCAGGTAAAGGGAATGAACCACCAAATATCAGAACTGGGCATGAGCATAGTTGTGCTGTCAGGTTTCCGTTTGCTGGTTTACATTCATGGAGAAAAGCTCCTGGGGGTGGCAGATGATCACACGGATACATGCTGCTCCACAACATTTTTAACATGTGGAAATCGATCAGCCCATCGCCTATAACCTGCACCACATACTCCAAAAAAGGGTAAAGTTAGATTTTGTTTGTGTGCATTGAATGCTTACTTTAAGTCAACAGATTAGCATGTTTACCTGATACGATGATCTGCTTATGGTTGAATTGCTCCCTGTCATCATCAGGGATATCCTGCAGTACATTACATCATATTATCAGCAATTCAGCATATTTGGTGTATCATAAAACTTCGTCCTAGTGAACAATCACCCTATAAATGAAATAGTCCCAAATACGAAATAAAGACTATTAAATTAACCTGCTGCAAACTTCTGATGATGAGCTCAGACAAACTCCCAAGGGTCTTGGTATCAAAGTGAGAGCAGCTCAATAGAAACTCTTCTGATGTCAAGTCCAACAGCATTGCACATAAGCAGGATGCTGTCATGGTAACTGATGAGGCATCTGTGGTTCCTATAAGCAATAACATATAGTGACTGATTCACATGAATAACACCAAAAAACATGGGATAATTTTGCTGTTGATTAGTATGTTAATTAATACTTAATAGGTGTGGATAAGTTATCATTCCAGCACCACATATAGGGAAAGATGACAGGTTTCTCACAAGTCACTACAGGCAGTGATCGAAGCACATGAATTTCATGATATGATAATCTGACTGTATGAGCCAACAAAGGAAATTCATGAAGTCTGCCTAGTTCCAGATTATAATGTTGGTGCATACCTTAGATGCTGACAAGTTATAGTCATCCATTAAACATAATGCCATAATGTGGTCAAGGTTTCTTTTTGTGCAGTTAAACCAAAGTGATGAAGTTGCCAGAACAGAACACAGAAACGACTACAGGCTAGCAACGACCTCACAGAATTGTACTCCCTCCGTTCTAATTTATAGATCGTTTTGGCTTTTCTAGATACACAACTTTTATTATGTATCTAGACAATATCGTATATCTAAATGCATAGCAAAAGCTATGTATCTAGAAAAAACAAAACGACCTATAATTTGGGACAGAGGGTGGTATTATCTAGTCTATGATGCACAAAGACATCATACATGTTTAAGCAAGATGAAAAGAAGTAAAAGCATACCAGCCCATGTAATAAGTGCCTTTAGGAGGCGAATGAAACGAGGATCCACTGGAATATGGACACTCTTCCTCTACAAAAATACCGAAAAAATATTAATATTCCCATGGCATGCAAAAAAATGACCTTTCAGAAAATCAAGTTACTTACATTAGACATGAAATTTATGATGGTGTCACATGCCAAAAACATGCTACCATTGTCAATCATCATTCCATCCTGCTCAGTCATTTTAACAAGGCAATCTATAACCTGCAGAGAAAGTGAGAAACACAGACAATCAGCTGTTCACGTCCCAGCATACAGAGTGCTAATTATGCCGAACAAGATGTCTCTGTTAATAGTTGAGAAGTTAACTGCAATCTCATGTGTTCATGCCAATCAATAAACAATTAAACATCACATTAACATTGATTGGCTTTACAGGGCTACAAGCCACTAGAGTCATAAAGTTCCATAAAATAATATAAATCATTCTAATCGCTAGACATTGGTTCTGGAGATCTCTGTTCCATGTTCATCTTGAAACAGAGGTCACGCAGCTTTTACATACTGATGTTAACATGCAGGCAAAAACAAGAAAGCACCTAATTACCAATGAACAAGCAAAACAAAGTAAGCTGACTAGGAAGATAAATTCATTTGAGGAACAAATACAAATGGAATTAGTAATCAAGCTTTAGAAAGTTGAAAAAGAAACAATTCTACTTACCGCTTTATAGCCGCCAAATGATGCCAAAGTTTTACATCCATCAACCTCCATTGTTATTTGGGATAACATTGGAAGCATGAAGCAAATAGAATAGAAGGGGCTGTTGCAAGAATAGAACTCTATACCATCAATATTTTGCATCATGAAAGAAGATGTATATATACACCTGGTGAGCACAAAATAAAGAAGAAGCAACCTTGATTCATCTTGACCTTCTATAGAAAAGATAAATTCCAATAGATTTCCGGTCTTCTCCTTGCAGGCATATGGTGCTTCTGCCAGATAACTGCAACAGAGTAACACATAGATGTGATATTGAAATCGAGGAAAATACGTTGTACAGAAGCTTGATCTGGACGCTTTGACATTGAACTATTGAAGACGCTCATGGGTTAACAGATTATGTACATTGTGCACATGGACAAAAATGAATTGGCCAAACTGTACACGTTTGTTCAAAAGGATGAAAACCAGCTTAGCTTTTATAATAGGAAAGTCAACTTTGTTGATAATGTTATAAAACATATACACGATTCATTACAACAAGCAGTATGGGCAGGCAGATGAACAAGTGTTTCTTTGAAGTCACAACTAAAGGGCCCTGAACAGCATGCTGTGTTCAATTGCTACAGATAAGGAGCAATTATTTACTAACTGAGAAACATAAGGATACATGAATTCTCAAAGAATAATAAGATGAGCAAGCAGCACACCTTCCTACTATTCTTGCAGCTGCCAAAAGATCATCACCTTTCTGTTGACCATGATCCT